GTGGCCCAAGAAAAAATGAGCAACATGAAGACAGTAAGCGATGTCATGGGCAGCAGTCCATCCTGAAGCTGAGACATAAGAAACTCAAGTTCAAGACTAGCCTAGGTCACATAGTATGACCTAGGTCAATCTGGACTATGTAGCAAGATCCTGTCCCAACTACCATCCCCCCACTTCCCTATTTTCCCTACAAGCAGGTAGGGAAAAGTTAAGACAAGAGTACAGTAGTACACTATAATTCTAATAGGAGACAGAGACAGGAGGATCAAGAATTCAAAGACAGCCTGGGCTACAGAGTGAAACTCTGTCCCCATCCCCTTTAAAAAAGGAAGAAAAAAAAAAAAAAAAAAAAACTAAGAAACAATTCCTCAGTCAAGGAAGTACTTACCTTTAAAAAAAATAAGGTTCTGAGTTTGAACCCTAGAACCCACAATAAAAATAAATAAAAATAAAAAGCCAGGCGCCAGTTTGTAATTCCAGCACAGGGAGGTAGGTAGGGGTCAGCTAGCCAATCAGTCTAGCTCCAGTTGGTGAGTTTGATGCCAATGAGACTTTCAAAGGAGATGGACATTGGTTCCTGAAATGACACCCAAGGTTGTCCTCTGGCCTCCATCTGCATGCACTCACATGCACACATAAACATGCACACAAAAGAGAAATGGAAGGATAATGAAAGAGGATTAAAGGTACTCCTCTCAATTATCCACCAAATGAAGGACTAATCCAAGAAAATGTTAGGAAATCTAGGAATCAGTAAACTGAACACACACCCACACACAAAAAAAGGGGTAGGAAATTCCCTAGGACAGTGTTAAAGAGGAATCCCAAGACAGTAATGAGGCAACAGGACCAAGAGAGGTTCGTAAACGAAAGTCCTCAGAAAGAAAAGAAACAAAAGCCCCTTATCTGTGTTAAAGATTCTATAAGCTTGAATGGTTGATTAGAACTCCCCATCATAGAAAGTTACAATGTTGCAGATACAGAGCCAAATTATCTTGGGCTATTTTTAGCCCCCTCACTAGCATTCATTGCCCTCAGACCTTTAAGGTGTATTCTTAGCAGACCACTAACTTCTACCAATCCAAAGGCTAAAAATGTCATCAAATAGTACCTAAAACCTACTGTAGAGCCAATTGTGGTGGCACATGCCTTTAATTCCATCATTAGGAAGGCAAAGGCAGGCAGATCTCCATGAGTTCAGGGCCAGCTGATGTACCTAGCAAGTTCCCTGCCAGTCAAAGCTATACAGCAAGACTTTGTCTCAAAACAAAACTACAAAAACCCCTACCAAAAAAAAAAAAAAAAAAAAAAAACCTACAGCAGTTTCCCTGTTTCTTTCCTATGATCTGTTCATCCAATGCTCCACCAATGTATTCTGTAAATTCTTTGATTTGGTTTTCCTTGTGCTTTCTCTCTCTCTCTCTCTCTCTCTCTCTCTCTCTCTCTCTCTCTCTCTCTCTCTCTCTCTCTCTCTCTCTCTCTGTGTGTGTGTGTGTTTTAAGTATGCACACAGAAGGGAGCATCAGATTCCCTGGAGCTTGAGTACAGCCATTTGTGAGTTGCTGGGAGGTGAACACTGATCCCCTAGAACAGTAAGCACTCTTAACCACTGAGCCATTATCTGCAGCCCCACTTCCCTGTTCCAGTTAATACAATCTCATGTAACCACTTCCACAGTAGAACACATTTCAGGACACCCTGAATTCATGTTTGTGGACCATGATCATTCATATTTGACTCAAGAATAAACTCACTATCTTTCAGGTGAGGACTATTTGGGGTTGACAGGTCTTAGGGCTACAAGCTTTCTTCAGCCAACAAGGAAAACAGATCAATATGAACATATAAGGTGGACATTTTATACTATGGACATTTGAGAACAAATGACTTAGATATCTAGAAAACAAAACAAATGTTTAAAAAAAAAGATATTGCTAACCAAGCACAAAAAAAATTTTAAAGTAAAACTTTTAAGTTTTGATAAAAGTTGAAATTACTTAAGATTTCAAAATAATAAAAACATGGGGTTCCTTGAAATTCCTGAGCCAGGAAACAGTAAATAATGGACTGTGCTCAGAGAAGACTGTCTGAGTAAGTGATTTGGGGTTGGGGCTTTTTGGTGATGACAAGATCCAGGGGACAGCTCTGTGAGCTGAAGAACATAAAGGCATCAAGAGGCTCAGGTGTCAGGTGGACTGTCCGTTTAAACGCTCAGGTTGGGCAACTGAGATGCTCAAGCTGTGAGGACACGTGCTGCCAAGCCTGACAACCCGAGGGAGAGCTCCAGAATCCACAAGTCAGAGGAGAAAACTGACTTCCACAAGTGTATCCACACACACACAATTCTCACGCTCTGTCTACTATCATATCTGCTCCAGTCGGCTGTCTTCCCCGCCCCCCCCTTGAGACAGGGGGTCTCTCTATACAGCCCTGGCTGTCCTGGAACTCATTATGTAAACCGGGAGGACCTCGAACTCAGAGAGCCACCTGCCTCTGCCTCCCGAGTGCTGGACTAAAGGCGTGCATCACTATGCCTGGCTATCAGTAGGCTATCGTGTATAGACATTTTCAATGTTCCCTGGCTTCTGGTTGGCTTGATCAAGAGGGAATCGCAGAAGAACAGAGTTAGAAAATTCATTCTTCCAGCACCCTCACTACAAGGGACCTCAAGTTCTGTCACCAGAAACTCATCGTCCTCCTCAAAGAAACCAAGTAACTACTCATCTCTCTTATCCTTTCCAGCCTAAAAATAAGTTTCTTACAGTGTATATGTAATACTATTTCTTCTGGTACCATTAGACCTGCAACTTTATAAACAAACTCTGCTAGGGCATGGTAAAGGAAAGCAAGGCCTGTAATCCCAGCTACTTAAGAGGCTGAAGCAGGCAGATCCAAAGTTCAAGACCAACTGGGCTACAGACAGTTCAAGGACAGCCCAGGGAACTCAACAAGTCTTTATATCAAAATAAAAAGTAAAAAGGCCAAGGCTATAACTCAGAGATGAATAACATGCCTAATGTTTAAGGCCCTCGGTTCAATCACCAGTACCTCTAATTTAAAGAAAAAGATTAAAAAAAAAAAAAAACACCACACAGGAAAAGAAAACTCTGGTAATTATTTTGTCAAATGTACCCTGTCTTCCTGTTGAGAATCCTTGATGACAATGCAAAGATGCAACAGAGAATAAAGGGGAGAGAAAGGTGAATAGCTTAAGTGAACGCTAGCACAAGCTCTATGTTAAAGTTCTCATAGCTCTTGTAAGATATTACATTTAATCGTCACAGATTTGTTTTGTTTCCAATTACCAACATCCAGAAGTAGTTTGTCCATGGTAAGCACTCCAGTATTGATTTAAAACACAATTAGTAGGTTTATCGGGGAAGAGCTGACTAGTTTGGGTAGGTCATTTATACTTTAGAAAACTATGACAGCAGAACTAAAAACCAGATGAGCCCTGCCTGTACGGGGAGCCTCAATTTCATCTCTTTCCTTTTTTGGTTATAGGGTTTCTCTGTGTAATCCTGGCTGTCCTGGAACTCTCTACAGACCAGACTGACTTTGAACTCAAGAGACCCTCCAGAGTACTGGGATTAAAAGTGTGTGCCACCACCTCTGGCAAAATCTCATTCTTTGTCTTTTCACTATGTAAACAAGGGCTTGGGTCTCACATTTACATGCAATGACCAAAAGTTAAAGTGGCAAATGTTTTAAAAATTATGTACTTGCATCCTAGGGGCTTATTTAACAGGAAAGAGCACTGTTAAATACCAGCTACAAGTTAGAGAAGGGAGAGCATAAAAAATATGCTTATGAATATGAAATGCAAAAATAATGGGAGGGGAGAGCTAGGGATGTAGGTTCAAATAGACTCCCAGCACCACACACACAAAATAATAAAGGCTAGTGTTTAGTCAGTCAGTCTGTACGAGACTCCTCAGTTTCAAAGAATTTCACAGCTCATAGACTAAAACCTACACACAACAAAATCAGCAGCTATTACAAACTCATAAAAATAAAACCTAGCAAAGCTGGACAGTGGTGGCCAATGCCTTTAATCCCAGCACTTGGGAGGCAGAGGTAGGCAGATCTCCAAGATCGAGGTCAGCGTGGTCTACAAAGTGAGTTTCCAGACAGCTAGGGCTACTCAGAGAAAAACCAAAATAAATACATAAAACAGCAAAATCAGGGGAGGGTGAAAATCAAGGGAGAAAATACAAAACATGACTCAAAAAAATTAAATACATGATCTAAAAAAATGTAAATATGAGAAAATATAATAGATATAACACAAACACTCCACCACCCATTCACATAATTATATGGGCTAATTTAACCAGTTATGATACCCATCTCACAAACAGAAACCTACAGGTGGAGGAAATAGGCAAGAATTCAATATAAAACAAAAGAACTCCAAAGATTTCCTGAAACCATAATTAATTTTTCTTTATATTATTTTTGCACTCCAAAGTAAGGGGGAATTCATACGAATATGAATCTAGACACCTGAGGAATTTCAAGAATAACATGAGTGAAAATTGGCAAGGAACACTGAGGTGTGAGTAAGGCTGCCACTGGGAAGGAATTGCCAGATGCAACCCTTGGACATGGAAGGTGAATCAAAAGCATCCTTACGTGGAAGGTGGGGAAGCATTTGGGTCTGACTTTGGCTGAAGGAAGATAAAACAGAGAAGCACGGCCTAAAAAAGCAAAAGCGATGGTGGAACTTAAAAGAGGGGCTAGATCCATGCCACCAGCGAGAGGTGCAGAATTACAAATCTGATTCTACGGGATAGCGTAAGGGCCAATTCGTGCTCATCAGTTGCCACTAGTTTCTGAAAGGCAGCACAGATGTGGCTGCTCAGCCCCACCCCACAGCAGCAACTCCGTCGGAAAGGGGCTCTCCAAGGCCCACCGCCCCGCTCAGGCTCTCGGCTCAACCCTAGATCCCACTCGGCCCCGGCCCCGCGGCGCAGAACCGGCCCCTTCCCGCCCCTCACCGAACGTTGCAGCTCCCCAAGCCAAAACGAGGCGCGCTCCTTTCCGCTGGGATCTGGGTCGTGGTAAAGCGCCTGCACTGCCTGGTACACGAGCTGCAATGTTGGCTTGGCTCCTTCCATGGTGGCGGCGGCGGCGGTGACAGCAACGACTCCGATACTTCTCCCGAGGCTGCCCTCTTACTCCCTCCTCTCACGCTTCCTCACTGTCTCGGCCACAGCCGCTCCCAGACTGGCGCCATCTCCTCCTTTCTGGCCGTTACCAGGGAAAGGGGAGTTCCTCGTGGAAGTTGCCCCCGCGGAAACAGCGGAAAGGTCGTTTCAGGTTCCTGGCTCCTTTTTGTCCTCGTTCTGCTAGAATCCTGACTCTGGAGTCCGGACGCGGGTTCCTGGTTCCTCACCTCCCGCCTTGCTTTCAGAGGCCTATCTCCGCATGACACAAACCACGCAGCGAACCTGAGCAGAGCTTACCAGACCGGAAGCAGCCGCCCGTATACTTTAGCACACTTCCGTCTTGTGCACTACAAACTGCCTCCTTCCCGGCACGCCTCCTCTTGTTTCCCGCCTCCTCCCGGAAGTGACCCTGCCGGACCAGGAGAACTGAAGGAATGGACTACGAGGTACTTACCTAGGGCCTTAACGTCTTCACTGGAGCTTTCAGAACGGTTTGTGTCACGTCCCTGACCAAATCTTATCTCCTCGGCACTGAATCTAAAGTCCTCCCGTCTCCTACTTCTGCACCCCTCTCCAGTGAGTCCTTTCTGTCTCCTGTGGGCATTTAAGGAACATCACTTCAACTGTCTCTAAGGTCCAACCATCTGTAGTGTATTACAGAACCAAAGGTCACTTGAGGTATGGTTCCTACTCTGATTTCCATTAGAATCACACTAGGTACACTTAACCAAATTACCATTTTCACACCTGAAGCATGTGCCACACTGAATAAATCCAGTGATTTATTTTATTTAAGAACCAATTTCAGGTTCTTATCCATGTATCTCTAGGGCCATTCGCACACTGGATGTTGCTTTTGCAATATACCTTACTTCTCATATCAAAAGTCAATACTCTGTCGGATTGTGTGGAGGGGACCTGTAATCTCAGCTCTTGGAAGATAGAACCATCAAGAAGAGTTCAAGACCAGCCTCCGCTACATGAAACTCTGTCTTTAAACAAACAGCGGAATGGTGGTAGTGCACACCTTTGATCCCAGCACTCAGGAGGCAAACACAGACAGGCAAATCTGAATCTCCTGAGTTCGAGGCCAGCCTGGTCTACAGACCAAGTTCCAAGACAGCCAGGGCTAGGCAGAAAAACCCTGGCTCAGGAAATAAATTTAATTTAATTTAATTTTAAAAAATAAAAAAACAAACAAAAGCAAATCAGTAGTTTAGCAAGTCTCAATTCACACGTTTCCCAACATTGCTGCTGCACAAAAAATAACTATCTGACAGTGTGTAAAGCATTCTCTCTCTCTCTCTCTCTCTCTCTCTCTCTCTCTCTCTCTCTCTCTCTCTCATTCCCCCCACCCCGACAGGTTTTCTCTGTGTAGCTTTGGAGCCTGTCCTGGAACTCACTCTGTAGACCAGGCTGGCCTCGAACTCACAGAGATCCACCTGGCTCTGCCTCCCATGTGCTGGGATTAAAGGTGTGCGCCACCACTGCCCCGCTAAATCCTTCTTTTTTTTTTTTTTTTTTTTTTTTTTTGGTTTTTCGAGACAGGGTTTCTCTGTGTAGCTTTGCGCCTGTCCTGGAACTCACTTGGTAGCCCAGGCTGGCCTCGAACTCACAGAGATCCGCCTGGCTCTGCCTCCCGAGTGCTGGGATTAAAGGCGTGCGCCACCACCGCCCGGCAAATCCTTCTTTTTTATGAGACTCTTTCAAAGATTTATTTTTATGTCTGTGAGGGTTGTGCCTCCATTTGTGTGTATGTGCACCGTGGTGCTTGCCTGGTACTGGGGGAGTTACAGACAGTCATGCGCTACCATATAGGTGCAGGGAACTAAATCTGGGTCCTCTACGAGAGCAGCAAGTGTCAACTCTCCAGCCCTAAAACTTCGTTTTTTGTTGTTTTTCAAGACAGGGTTTCTCTCTGTAGTCCTGGCTGTCCTGGAACTAGCTCTGTAGATCAGGTTAGCCTTGAACTCTGAGATCTACCTGCCTCTACTCCGGATTGCTAGGATAATAGGTGTGCACCACTACTGCCCTGCTAAAACTTCATTTTAAAAGACTAGAATTTGCTGGGAGGTGGTGGCACACGCCTTTGATCCCAGCACTGGGGGGTGGGGGGGCAGAAGCAGGTGGATCTCTATGAGTTTGAGGCCAGCCTGGTGTATAGAGCAAGTTCCAGGACAGCCAGAGCTACACAGAGAAACCCTGTCTTGAAAAGGAAGGAAAGGAAGGAAGGAAGGAAGGAAGGAAGGAAGGAAGGAAGGAAGGAAAGAAGGAAGGAAAGAAGAAAGGAAAAAGAAATTTTAATTGTCATGTGAAAAAAAATTATTGAAACATGAGCTAGAGATGTAGCTCAATTGGTAGAGAACTCTCTAACATGAGCAAAGCTCTGGGTTTGATCCCCGACACCACATAAAACAAAGTGTGGTGGCACACACCTGTAATCCCAGAGAGTTAGAGACAAGAAGATCAGAAGTTCAAGATCATTCTTGGATACTTAGTAAGTTTGAGGCGAATCTGGAATTTATGAGACCCTGTCTTGCCTTTAATCCCAGCACTCAGGAGGCAGAGGCAGGTGGACCTTTGTGAGTTCAAGGCCAGCCTGGTCTACAGAGCGAGATCCAGGAAAGGCGCAAAGCTACACAGAGAAACCCTGTCTTGAAAAACAAAACAAAAAAAAAAAGAAAGAAAGAAAAAAAGAAAGAAATGAAACGCTCTAGGTTGAAGGGGCTGAGATGATCACCTAAAACTATTTTAACCTGCCGGGCGGCAGTGGTGCACACCTTTAATCCCAGCACTCAGGAGACAGAGCCAGGCAGATCTCTGTGAGTTCGAGGCCAGCCTGGTCTACAGTGTGAGATCCAGGACAGGTACCAAAACAACACAGAGAAACCCTGTCTCAAAAAACCAAAAAAGAAAAAAAATTTAACCTAAGATCAGACTGATAGACATAGGGAACTAAGGTAAAAAGTATTATACCAGGCAAAGGCAAAAAATGTTAAAATCTGTCAGAAAAAGAGAAAAGTGTGTTCTGTAGGGTCTATAGACTGAGAGGAGTCCACACCAGCTGGAAGAAAGACTTGGTGTTTAGCAAAAACAACACTCCACACATCTTTGTGTCCTCAAGAGATTGCCTAACATATGGTAAGTGTGCAGAAACTGTTTTTAAGTGGCTGTCTTTTAGCTCCTTAGAGACTTCTCTTAAGTCATTCTGGCTTGCAACACTGAATGTCTTGGGCAAGGACAAAAATAATAAGCTCTTGCAGTAATCCTGGTGAGGAGCAATGGTGGCCTAATGTGGACATTAGAGATGGAGATGGAGAAATGTAGAATACATATAGGAAAATGGATTTGGATGTGGTGGTAGCTGTGGTTACAGAATGCAGAAAGAAGAAAGAGAACTTGGCTTCCTGAAACCTAGACCACAGAAACAGTTACTTTTACGGACAAGGAGAATGTCAGATATGGACTCCAGTTCCCTGTCATAGGGATTGTCATGAGACTTGGGTCTGTCCCAAGATGACACACATGACTTTCAATGAACCTCCAGTTAAATAGCAAGCTAAGCTGTGGCTCCGCAGAGTCCTCCTGTCATGAGTGACTTATGCCACTAACATTGACTGACACACTTGTGTTTTTATATAATCAGATTGTACTAAATGTCAATGGACTTTGAGAATCATCATTTTCATCACTGGCTACCCCTGATTTCACCCGGGGTTGTGGCGATGGCAATTACAATTTTTTTTTAATTTTAGTCCAATCTTAATTACTAATATAAACTTCAAATCATACATCATGCTTCATACATGTATAAATGGGTTCTAGAGAGCTGAGAGGGGCAAAGGGATTACAGACATTGAAGAGCCAATGTGAAGAGTCAATGCGAATGCAAGGAGCCCTTGCAGGTCATCGAGTATTTTGCTAACTAACCAATTCTGGAGCTGGCAAGACAAAGGGACCACAGTGTTGAACTGGCCAAGTATCAGAAGTAGGGAGAAATATGCTGAGGAAGACAATGAGAAGTTTCTTGGTACACTACAGTAGTCTGTAACAGTGACAAGTCATCAGACCTTGCTATAGTCTAAGGTACCTGTGCTTTTATGTGTCTTCAATAAAGTGATGCATCGTCTCTTCATTTGGTGTGTCTGAAGGGCTAATTACCTAAAATCCTCAGGTGAACTGGGAAGTCTGGATGGGAACACTGACATGATTGATAACACCTGGAAGCTTCTGAGTGGGCGCTCCGCACGTCAACCACTGGTGTCTCCTATGCCCAGACTGCAGGGGGACTAACCTGCAGATGGACTTGTCCATCCTCTAAGTCCCCCCTTTTCCATCCTATAAAATCCCAAACCCCACCCCCATGCCACATATGCACAGTCTTTTTTTTTTTCAAAGATTTGTTTATTATGTATACAGTGTTCTGCCTGCATGTCAGAAGAGGGCACCAGGTCTCATTATAGATGGTTGTCATGTGGTTGCTGGGACTTGAACTCAGAACCTCTGAAAGGGCAGCCAGTGCCTTAACCTCTAAGCCACCTCTCTAGCTCCATATGCACAGTCTTATTTCCACAGAGAGACTGGCTCTTTAGTTGTCCTGATTAAAGAACAATTCTGCTTCTGGAGATGCCTGTCTTCCCGTTATTTCCACATCACCTCCATCAATCCCGATCTAACAGTGTCCCATTAAGCTTAGAAGTGGTAGATGCTTATAGCACCTGTAAGTCACTTAGCCATCTGTGCCATGTGACTGCTGTGGAGGAATAGCTCTGAGCACAGCATCAATTTACCATCTTTCCCCTTTTATTGAAAATAGTTGTGGGTTTTTTTGGTCGTGTGTGTGTGTGTGTGTGTGTGTGTGTGTGTGTGTGTGTGTGTGTGTGTGTGTGTCTTACATAATATATTCTAATTACGGTTTCTCCTTCCTCTACTCCTCCCAGTTCCTCCTCCTCTCACCTCCCATCTGTACCCACTCCCTTTCTGTCTCTCATTAGAAAACAAATGGGCTTCTAAGGGACAATAATAAAATATGATATGATAAAATAAAATATAATAAGATAAAACAAAAACTAACACATTGGAGTTGGACAAGATAAACCAACAGATGGAAAGGAGCCCAAGAGAAGGCATGAGAATCAGAGACCCACTCTTTCACACACTCAGAAATCCCATGAAACCATGGAACTGGAAGCCATAATATGTGCTTAGAGCATCTGGTGCAGACCCGTGCAGGCCCTGTGCATGTCAGTCTCTGTGAGTTTGTGTGAGCTTTGGTCTGTTGGTTTAGACCGCCTTGTTTTCTGTGTCCCTGGTCTCCTCTGGGTCC